GACGCTTGCTGTCTATTTGGAGTTTGCGTCTCTCATCATCATCGCGGTGGCTATGAGATGTTAACTACCTCGCCTGGTATACAGGAGGTCGTGGGTTCGCTCCCGACCCTGACAATGCCTGCTGCTGCTGTATATTTCGGAGTTTGCGAGTCTCTCTCATCATCATAACGGTGATTAGGAGATGTTAACTACCTCGCCTGGTGTACAGGAGGTCGTGGGTTCGCTCCCGACCCTGACAATGCCTGCTGCTGCTGTATATTTCGGAGTCTGCGTGTCTCTCTCCCATTGTGGTTTGTGTGGTGTTTTCTCCTGGTCCTCCGGTTTCCCCCTCCACAGTTAGAAACATGAGTTTAGAGTATTTGGCTTCCATGGATTTCCACTTGATAAGCCACTTCATTGGGATATCATTTGTGACCAGGTCGTTTCTGTAAAAGATTTAAACAGCTCGGTGGGCCTTACCTGGTAAAATAAAAATAAATAGTCTAGTTATTTTGTATCTGTCATGCAAACTGTTTGCTATGCAGCAGAACCTGCTAGGCGCGTTATTAGGATTATTACTAACATCGTCATCATTGCGCACTGGATTTCAATGTGCGTGCGTATTTCACGGTGAGCGAGTGCCAACAATTTCCCAAGGTTTGCAGTCCTCTATATATTAAGATGCTTTCAAACGTTTAATGAGCGTTCATAAATTGGGGGCAACGCACTATCCCATTCAGATGGGGCCAGATGGAGATTATAGATTGTAACTGCACTGCCCTCTTATGGCAAGCTAGGGTATGGTCCTTTGACGCCCACGGGATGGGGAAATCACGGTGTGATCCACCAACCCTCCCTGCTGTCTCCACAGTGCAAAATTACAGGCAGTCCACGTGCAGCGCGCAGTCACCACCGCCCGACCATCGTCATTCGCCTGATGGGCTTTTACCACTCACGCATGGGCGACGCGGCGGCTAGGAGATGTTAACTACCTCGCCTGGTATACAGGAGGTCGTGGGTTCGCTCCCGACCCTGACGCCTGCTGTCTATTTGGAGTTTGCGTGTCTCTCATCATCATCACGGTGGCTAGGAGATGTTAACTACCTCGCCTGGTATACAGGAGGTCGTGGGTTCGATCTCGACCCTGACGCCTGCTGTATATTTGGACTTTGCGTTTCTCTCTCATCATCATCGCGGTGGCTAGGAGATGTTAACTACCTCGCCTGGTATACAGGAGGTCGTGAGTTCGATCTCGACCCTGACACCTGCTGCTGTATATTTGGAGTTTGCGTGTCTCTCTCATCATCATCACGGTGGCTATGAGATGTTAACTACCTCGCCTGGTATACAGGACGTCGTGGGTTCGATCCCGACCCTGACGCCTGCTGCTTTATATTTGGAGTTTGCGTGTCTCTCTCTCTCATCATCACGGTGGCTAGGAGATGTTAACTACCTCGCTTGGTATACAGGAGGTCGTGGGTTCGATCCCGACCCTGACGCCTGCTGTTGCATATTTGGTGTTTGCGTGTCTCTCTCTCTCGTCATCATCATCACGGTGGCTAGGATATGTTAACGACCTCGCTTGGTATACAGGAGGTTGTGTGTTCGATCCCGACCCTGACGCCTGCTGCTGTATATTTGGAGTTTGCGTGTCTCTCTCATCATCATCACGGTGACTAGGAGATGTTAACTACCTCGCTTGGTTTACAGGAGGTCGTGGGCTCGCTCCCGACCCTGACAATGCCTGCTGCTGCTGTATATTTGGAGTTTGCGTGTCTCTCTCTCTCTCATCATCATCACGATGGCTAGGAGATGTTAACTACCTCGCCTGGTATACAGGAGGTCGTGGGTTCGCTCCCGACCCTGACAATGCCTGCTGCTGCTGTATATTTCGGAATCTGCGTGTCTCTCTCCCATTGTGGTTTGTGGGGTGTTTTCTCCTGGTCCTCCGGTTTCCCCCTCCACAGTTAGAAACATGAGTATTTGGCTTCCATGGATTTGCACTGGATAAGCCACTTCATTGGGAAATCATTTGTGACCAGGTCGTTTCTGTAAAAGATTTAAACAGCTCGGTGGGCCTTACCTGGTAAAATAAATAAATAAATAGTGTAGTTATTTTGTATCTGTCATGCAAACTCTTTGCTATGCAGCAGAACCTGTTAGGCGCGTTATCATGATTATTACTAACATCGTCATCATTGCGCACTGGATTTCAATGTGCGTGCGTATTTCACATTTTTGAAATTTGTGAAAAGAACGCCCGGTACTCAGCTTACCTGGAGCCATAGCTGTGACCTTTGCATTAAGGCTGCACCCCGCCGAAGCCGTTCGCTGATTGGTTCACCGACAGGCTCACCGACACACCGAGAGAGAGAATGAGAGAGGGAGATGCAGAGCTGGGCCCTTATGGGTGGAGTTCATGATTCAACTTTGCGACCAAACCTGTCCTGGACGCAAATAATGGCCACACGTGACGACAATTAACACGGGCGATGAAGCGAGGATTCTGGATTATTCGTGGGGCTGGTGGCGTGGTGGTCGCGTGATGGTCTGGTGGTTATGGTTTGTTGTGCTGTGTGGTGATGATGTTGTGGTGGTGTCCTGGCGGTTATGTTTGTTGTGCCTTCATTGGTGCTACTCGCTAACCCCACTTGCCCCAACAGTCTATTCACGATAGACTGGGGGGGGGGGGGAATCTGTGTTTGTTTTGTGTCTGTTTGCTCGTGTGTGCGCGGAGCAGCAGTGTTGTGCAGCGGTTAGCCAGCTGCGTTACGAAACTGGTTACTCGACTTTGATTCCCGCTCACGGGAATCAACCCCGGGTCTGGTGGTTATGTTGGTGGCCTTGTGGTAGTGGTTGGTGGCAGTGTTAGTGTCGGTAATGGCGTGAAATCCACGCGTGCCATTTCTGATCGGCCTGCTGTATACCATTCGATCCTGCCGGCCAATCCGGCTGACGTTTCAACTCGCGACCCAGCCTACCCCGTTACGCGCCCGTGAGACACGCAAAATATCCCACCCGTGAATGTTGACACAGCGATAATGATAATGGAGGGTAAGAGAAGCGTCAATGTTTTTTTGTGCTGTGTGGATGGGGGGGGGGAGTTGGAAATCCCTAGCGCGGCAGTCGTCCTATTGTGACCCCCAAAAAGTTCCTTTAGTCGGCACAGAACAAACATGAAAAAAAGCCTGCGGATCTATTTTTACCCGGGGAGGTGTTGGTATTGTGCAATAGTTTCTGGTCTTTGTGCACCCCCCCCCCAATACCCACTCTAGCCATGACGCAATTGTCCGAGGCGAGCTTGTCAATCTGTAATACACGTGGCGGTGTTGCAATCGTACGTCTTGACTACGGAGTGGAAGTGCAGGGAGACTGCGGGATGGACGGCCCCGCGATTATAACAAGAGATACATTATAACGGGGGGGAAAAAACACATGTTCCTTCAAAGCCTCTCTCCATGGCTCCCACCAATTTCTTTTGCACGAAGTAATATAACGCTTTCCTCCGTACGAGTCATCGCTTTCACAATCGTCAATGACCGAGTCAGAGAGTCGTTAGAAATGTGTGGTACCTATTACTATTAAACCTATAACAATGTTTTTTTGTTTTACCAGGTAAGGCCCACTGAGCTGTGTGGTTCTTTTTCAGAAGTGACTTCTGCCACCGCAAATGATAGCTCAACGAGAAGTGGCTAAACGCACGATTTTGAACGTGGATTGGAAAATTAACTCGGAGGACCCGGATGAAAATTCACGCGACCACGTGGAAAAAAGACACGCAAACTTCAAATATACAGCAGCAGCAGGCGTCAGGGTCGAGAGCGAACCCACGACCTCCTGTATACCAGGCGAGATAGTTCACATCTCACCACCGTGGCCCCCATGCAATGCCAAAAAATCAACATGTCTCTCAACAATTTCAATGCACTACATAATGCGACACTCTCCTCTGTAAGATGCGGAGTCCACGCTTTAACAATCGTCAATAACGCTCGTCGGAAGGTCGTTGGAAATCGGTGGGCTACCTATGAATGGGTAACCCGCACTGACCGGCTCGATTAAGTTACGGTCAAAACAGCCCCTACGACTTTCCCCAACTTAAAAAAAAAACTCCCCTTCAAGAGGTCGGAGACTCCACGGAGGGACGCGGAGTTCAAATCTGCGTTACAGTAGCTGCCTGTGATTGAAGTCGGCTTCTCGAGAAGGTGCGGTGAGTTAATGCACAACAAACCAAAAATAAATCAATCACGTTCAACTTGGTTTTGCTCTCTCCTTTGGCTCAATTCCAGCTTGTGAGAATGTGAAATATCTGGCTGTCAGTCACGTGAACACAGAAGCGTTTCCATCAGAGGTCCCTGGGTGACAGGAATGTGTCCCCCGATTTTCAGGTTAATCGACAAAACACCAAAACACCGGCAATCGGGCCAACATAAAAAAATGAGCGGATTGTTTTGAAAATGTAACGAGTTTTTTTTCTTTAACCCCCGCTAAATGTTGGTGGTACATGGCGTCGTGTGACGTCACACGGCGTCGTGTGACGTCACTATCGCGAGCACGAGGGAAGGTCGCTACGTGAATGTCAACAATGCGAACATTTGTCGTTTAAAAATAATCTATATCTGGAATTGTCTTTAACAAAAAATCCAAACTCTGGACCTTTTAAAAATCCTCCCCCACCCCCCCCCCAAAAAAAAAAACACCATCGCTCCTCCGTGATATCCACTTCCCGAGGGCCTTTCTCGAGTGCTGAGAGGCCCGCGGATTCCTCATCGCGTGAGATGACGTTACGGTACAGCGTGTCGAACTTCTTTCGCACCGTACGTAGCCAACCGTGCACACTCGGGAGACTACTAAACCGCCAAACAATTTTTGTTTAAAAAAAAAGAAATCATTGCCACGGCGCGCACTTCGCCCGGTGCGAAGGTTGCGTCAAGCCCCTCAAGACACTTAGCAAAACAATCGATAAAACCCACCACGTCGAGGCAATCTTTAAACGGCACCCCCCCCTCTCTCCAGCTCACCTCTGCCTCCCCCATGGAAAATAAAACTTGAGATGACATCACCCCGAAACAACGGCTCTCTACAAACGGACTGTGCCAATGCTCCCGGTGACAAGTAGGGGGGGGGGAGGTGCGTGGATCTTAGCTGGATACTTGGATCAAAGTATATATGTGTAAAACTGTGGCTGGATTTTGAGTTGAAGTTATATTTGTAGGCGGCAGTGATGTTGTTTCGTGTTATCTGTTGTCATCCCTTCAAAGAAAAAGCCACGTGCACCACCCCCCCCGCTCCTCCCCCCCCGTGTTTAAGTGGTACGTTCCAGATGAGATCACCTCTCTTACCCTGTCTTGTTTGGACTACGTGACAATTGTAGATTTGGCATTACGAACACACACACACACCTGTATAATTTCAACGCCCACGACGTGTTTCCGTACAGCTCTTAGCTGAACGCCGTCGCAATATTGTGAAGCGGGTGCTGCCGTTACAAGCGTCAAACACAGTTTGTATAATATCTCTGTGCTACTACGTCTGGTGCTGTGAGCGTTACTTACGATACCCTGGACAGCAGCAGCATCAGCAGCATGGACTTCATGAGAACTGGACGCCTGGACACGTGGCAAGCTCACGCCACGGCGCGGGCCCTTGGTCTCTCAGGTATGGCGAACAAACTCTACCCACCGTCGCAGCCGTAGAGATGGTGACGAGATAGACACGGCAATCGCATAAATTATTATCATCATCATACAAATCGTAGTTTTGTCATCATCAAACAAATTATATTTAAAAAATAATCAGATTTTTGTTATATATATAAAAAAGAATCAGAATTTGTTTTTTAAACTGGAGGAATCCGATGAGCTGCTCTTTTTTTAACCGATGTTCATTTAGGGGCACGGGGTCAGGATGGTTACAACAAACTACACAAAACACGAGAGGAGTGCAAAGCATAAGGATATGTAAACACATCACTTAACAAAATATCTACAAATAAAACCTCAACTGTTTTATGTTAGCAGGTAAGGCTCCGCTGAGCTATTAACTTTTTTTTCCTGAAGCGACCTGCCTGTCACAGATGACAACTCAACAAAGTGACTAAACCACGGGGGAAATGATATAAGCAAAATAATCAAAATAATGTAGATGCCACTGGTTCTTCACGTTCTGCAGATGTAGATGCCACTGGTTCTTCACGTTCTGCAGATGTAGATGCCACTGGTTCTTCACGTTCTGCAGATGTAGATGCCACTGGTTCTTCACGTTCTGTAGATGTAGATGCCACTGGTTCTTCACGTTCTGGAGATGTAGATGCCACTGGTTCTTCACGTTCTGCAGATGTAGATGCCACTGGCTCTTCACGTTCTGCAGATGTAGATGCCACTGGTTCTTCAAGTTCTGCAGATGTAGATGCCACTAGTTCTTCATGTTGTGCAGATGTAGATGCCACTGGTTCTTCACGTTCTGCAGATGTAGATGCCACTGGTTCTTTACGTTCTGTAGATGTAGATCCCACTAATTCTTCACGTTCTGTAGATGTAGATGCCACTGGTTCTTCACGTTCTGTAGATGTAGATGCCACTGGTTCTTCACGTTCTGCAGATGTAGATGCCACTGGTTCTTCACGTTCTGCAGATGTAGATGCCACTGGTTCATCACGTTCTGCAGATGTAGATGCCACTGGTTCTTCACGTTCTGCAGATGTAGATGCCACTGGTTCTTCACGTTCTGCAGATGTAGATGCCACTGGTTCTTCATGTTCTGCAGATGTAGATGCCACTGGTTCTTCACGTTCTACAGATGTAGATGCCACTGGTTCTTCACGTTCTGCAGATGTAGATGCCACTGGCTCTACATGTCCTGCAGATGTAGATGCCACTTGTTCTTCACGTTCTGCAGATGTAGGTGCCACCACCGCCATCTATTTGCACGTCAGTTGAACTCACGACTCTCGGTCCGAACAGGCAACTGGACATATGGACCAGGTTTTTTTTCCTGTCTCTGAATGTTCATAAGTCGAATGTTCCTAAGTAGAAGGGTCCCCTGTATTTCAAGAGCCGCAATGCACGTGAATACGAGGCGGCGGTCCTTGAAACAATAACGTTACGAAGCAGTCCTTAACGCTCCAGAGCCGCAGGCTGCTGAGTGCTGAGCATAGCGAGGAGGGAGGGTTTCCTTTGCCTGTGGACATCTTGGCAGTTTTCCAGCGGTGGTGTGAATCTGCTGATGAGACACCGAATGTCGAAACCGATGTGGCGGTGTTCTCACATTCAATCAATGCTCCTGCGAAAAGTTGCACTCCCAGAAGACCCGCACGACTGATGGGATGTGTATACAAAACATTGCAGAGAGACACATATGGGAAGGGGGTACATTGTGAACGTATTTATTTCGGTGTAGATTACTTCGGTTTATTTCCAGTATAACCCCTCTTAACGACGGGGATTGGTTCCACGAAACCGGTCGTTAAGTGATTTTTGGTTATTTAGCGAGTCTAGGAAATACATTTTAAAGGTTTAATTCGTTCCAGTAGCATCAAAAGTTACCCTTTTTCACCCAAAAAAGTACTTTATAATATTTACACAATGGATATAATACATCAAGATACAAACAACATTACAAACACATAATATGAAAATAAATTTGGGTAATCAATGCATTAATTAATATTTACTGTACATACAACAGCCCGTCGTTAACAGGGGAGGCCCGTCGTTAAGTGATTAGTCGTTAACAGGGGTGGTCGTTAAGAGGAGTTCTACTCTACACTATACACTACACTATACACTACACTACTATACACTACACTATACACTACACTACTATACACTATACACTACACTACTATACACTACACTATACACTACACTACTATACACTACACTACTATACACTACACTATACACTACACTACTTTACACTACGCTATACACTGCACTACTATACACTACACTATACACTACTACACTATACACTACTACACTATACACTACACTACTATACACTACTACACTATACACTACTACACTATACACTACACTATACACTACACTATACACTACACTACTATACACTACACTACTATACACTACTATACACTACACTATACACTACACTACTATACACTACACTACTATACACTACACTATACACTACACTACTATACACTAACCTATACACTACACTATACACTACACTACTATACACTACACAACTATACACTACACTACTATACACTACACTATACACTACACTACTATACACTACACTATACACTACACTATACACTACACTACGATACACTACACTACTATACACTACACTACTATACACTACACTACTATACACTAGACTACTATACACTACACTATACATTACACTACTATACACTACACTACTATACACTACACTATACACTATACTACTGTATAGATCCAGATGCTTGCAAAGAGACCCATTTTGTCTCTCCGAGACAAACAAAAGCCGTACACGTCAACCCATAGACTTACATCGAGGCCCACAGACTCGTATAGAAACTCATATAGCCTTGCATAGAGACCCGCAGACGTGCATAGAGACCAATAGACTGACGTAAAAAAAAATCTAAACACAAATCAATTGGCGAAACCATCGTTGTATATAGAGGACTGCAGAGCTTGGGCAATTGTTGGTTGCACCGGCTCACTGTCTGGCCGCTGCCATCCCCCATTGCCCGTGGTTTCTCAGCGATTGCGAGAGATGTGATTTGCATGAACGATGATGCAGGTATATATCTAAAAGATGTGAGTCTTCCATTTTATAAAAAAGTTTAAAATTTCAATATATATTTTGTATAGGCCGTAGTCATACTCTTTGGTTCTATTCGGTAAAGTCACGTAGGTAAAAAATAAAACAACAAAAATTACGACGTTTCGGCCACAACACAAGCGGCCTTCATCAGGTGAAGGGACCAGACTATCTCGAGGACAGCGCTGGAGTGAAACACAGCCAAGCTCAGACAGCGACCTTTAAGCTGTGTGAGAGTAGTTAAGGTGCCTTGACAAAGGAATTAGCGTAAAAATTTGTATTTTAATAGGCGGACTTAGCATGATGAAAGGTAGGAAGGGGGTCGACCTGTGCAGCGTCCACATGCTGGTGGTGTGAAAAGAGGATTTTAAGAATCTGCGAAAGTTTGGGGTACCACTACTTGAAAAATATACTGTACCATTGAAAATTAGTTTAATGTTTGGTTCGATTTAGAACATCTTTCCAATGGTTGCTTAATTTGAAACCATCTTCTCGGTTGAAATTGTGTCTGTGAGAGCTTGGATGTGTATGTGTGCCAATTTTCACTACAACAAATGTCCTTTGGTGGTCCATAATTAATGTGATACTCCGACTGATGCTCCTGTTGTTTGTGGAGTGACTCATGCAGCCAGCTGTGGCTCTAGGGTTTGGCGTTACATGTTATTTATCTAGTATATTGTTAAAAATTCGGTCACTGTTCCTATGATCACTGTTACATTGCATTTATGACTTTATTTTGGTGATTTCTAAAAGTGTTTTTGTTTGGCCATGTGTTTGTTTGTTGTAGTACGGAGTTAGACTGATGGCCTTAATCTAAGTTTTCTTGTTGTTGTTGTTTGACTTGCATCCCACTGGGATTTTTGCATTTCAGGAATATTTTGATGTTTTTCCTGGATTTTCTGTTTGCACAGTCACACAAAGTCACTTTAAGATGTTTTCTTGTTCGTGTTTTAGTTTTTTTGTTTGTTGCGGTTGCACCCGATTCAAGAGCCGAATGGCTCACAGGGGCTATGCCAAAATAAATGAAATGAAATTATGAAACTATGAATAGGTCGGCAACATTGTATTTGGTGTTCATTCATCCTTTCCGGAAATTGATAGGAAGAATGCGCGGTCGGTGGCAGAGAAACCTTTCCTAGATCTGGCCCTGCACGTGCGATTTCCGGCACTCCAAATGTCTCCGTGATTTCGCGCTTTCGTGGTGGCCTCGTGCCACAGGCAGTTTCCATTGCAAGGCCCTTCGCGGATCACTGGCAGAACCCCGGTGGCCTTTAGTGTAGCCCCTGACGTGCGGCCCCCCGACAACACAACCAAATGTGAAAACACCGCCCATCATCATCATCATCGTGCTGCTGTCAAACCCAACAATGGTTTCAAATGTGTGGCGGCCCTCACGCTGATGGTGTCTTGTCGGAAAAAGTGCCCCCCCCTCCCACCACCGCCCCCGAACCCTGAAAGTTATGGAAGGTCACTGCGCTACGGTAACGGTGCGAACAACCGCGTGCGCCGATGGCGAATTTGACGACCGCGTGCATTGTCGTCGTCTGCCGTTGTCTCTACTCTAGGCATCTCCTCCAAGGCCTCGACCCCTCCACCAATCATCTTCCCCCCCTTTCCTCTCCCGCTCCACACCCCCCTGTCACCTCCTCCTCCGCCACCACCACCCCCGCCGCTACCGCATGGCCCCCCGCCGGTCCAACGCAGACGATGCTTCCGGTTCCCCCGCCCCCGCTGGGACAGCGACGACTGCAACGACGATGACGACGACGACGATGACGACGACGATAATGGTGGTGGTGGTGGTGGATGGGGGATCGTCAAGAGGTCACGACCTGGCTTGCCATCACCGTCGCTCGTTCCCATGCAGTAAGTGAGCTTCCCACAATCCCTTGCAGCTGCGGACTGATTTGCATTTTGTTCATTGTTGCCGTTGTTTCTATATTCCTGGCTTCATCATTTTGGTGACCCAGATCATCCCAGCAAATGATACTCATTCTTCGCCACTTGTTTTCCCATCTGATTAAGCGAAATCGACTTGAAATACCGCAACATCGCTTAATCCCTTGCTGCTGCTGCTGCTGCTGTTGCTGTAGCCACGTCTGGGTGTTGAACAATTCGGAGAGCTACGGTGACCTCTCGGCTTTCGCGCTCCGCCACCCTCCGCCGCCGCCGCCGCCGCTACTACTGGCACCTCCACGGATACCCGTGGCCAGCCCAGAGTCCTCGCAAGCGATTGGCACCGCCACTGTCGCATCACGCATCCTTCAGCAGCAGCAGCAGGTAATGGGTTTATGAAATTATTCACGAGTAACATTTATTTGCCCTGGAAATCCCCACTTAGTCTTGAGACTTGTCACTTGTGTTCCCATATGATTAAGCGAGATGTTAACTACCTCGCCTGGAATGAAGGAGGTCGTGGGTTCGATTCCGACCCTAACGCCGATATATATTCGGAGTTTATGTGTTCCTGTCCCCAGTGTCACGTGGATTTTTCTCCGGGTCCTTTGGTTATCCCCTGCACATTTAGAAACATGCGTTTGGAGTATTTGGCTGCTATAAATTTACAAATGATAATCCACTTCGTTTAGCTATTATTTTTGGCCAGGTCGCTTCTGAAAAAATGCTATTTAGCTGTGTGGGCCTTACCTGGTAAAATAGATTAAAAAAAGTTAATTGGATTTTCACGATTCAGGGCCCTGCTTTGGTTCTGAGTTTTACTTTATCGCGCGGGTGGTGATCGCAGACTCGCCGGGTGGAATAGGGGGGCGGTTATGGTTGAGGGTTTGCTCCAACTTGTAGTCAAGAACTTAGGAATGTGCGGGCGCATCTGCAGTGATACTTGAGATCAGGACGATTAGTCAATTAATCGGACTCATTTACGAAAACATACGATCGACTACTTTTATTCTGGTCGAACTCTCGGGGCCACACCCACACCCTACCCCTTGAAGGCGGGAAACCCCCACAAAGCTGTGCCCTGCTCGACACGGCTGATGATGCCGTGCCGATAACCTCCCGTCCAGCGGCACACGTCGGGAACAGAGGCGAGGCTAATTTTTTACCCCCAATGTTACCCGATTGATCGTGTAATGGAACCTATTAGGAAACCACTGGAGCTATGCAAATTTCAATCTCGATTGAAAACTCATTTATTGAGGACTGCTTCTTGTGTTTAGTTTGTTGTCCTTCCCCCGCACCTCTGATTAGCACGGTTGGCTACGTATGGTGCGAAAGAAGTTCAACATACTATCATTGGTAGAGCAATCATCAGTTTAAATAATCAGATAGCCCAGCTCTCTGTTTGTGCGCAGGGGCGAGGTGGGTGGTGCAGGCTGGGCGAGAGGCGGCGAGCGGTGGCGGATTTGGCGGGGGGGGGTCGGGGGTGGACCTTCAGCAGTGGATTGACCGTGGCTTATGAGCCCGGCCTTGCTCGGAGGCCGTTCCTTGCGCGTTCACTTCCCTCACTCCGTGACTGTGCGTGTACCGACAGGCGCGCCCATCGGTGATCGTGTGCGCTCCGGCGTCAAGTCGCGACTCGCGATCGCACTGCGCCTCGTCGGCACCCGGTGGCACACAGAGTGAGTACGGCCCCTGGATCTGCTGCGTCGCTCACCTCACCACCCGTTGGGTTTATTTTTTTTTCTTTTAAACGAGAGATCCCTTTTGGGCGGCCTCTCCGGACAGGTCCATGGGACAGCTCTTGCCCTAACCCAGGCCTAGGGAGCCTTTTCTCTATTGAGGTAATTCAATTGCTGGTCTTCAACCGAATACCATTCTTTCAACCTATACGATTTCTGATGATGACGGTGACGATGGTGACAATGACGACGACGACGACGATGATAATGATCATTTCAATTATAATGTGTTTTTTTTGGGGGGTCTCACAGCAGCGCCACGGAATGGCGGCATGGACGCACGTGAAGGGAGACCGGGAGGAGTGAGGAGGCCAGGGTGGCAGCGGGCGCTGCCTCGTCCTCCACCTCAGTCTCCTCCTCAGTCTCCTCCTGCTCCTCAGTCGTCTCCTCCTGCCGTCGACCTCACAGCCCCAATGGAGAGGGCGACTTCCATCGCAGGCTCGGTGGACGATCACTTCCGCCAGTCCCTCGGAGACCTGTGGCTGCAAATAAAGGCCACTGAATCTGCCTCACCCCTGACCTCTGCTTCACCCATTATCTCTGCTTCACCTTTGACCTCTCTGTCACCCCCGGCTTCTGTTTAACCTTTGACCAGAGGGCTTAGTCACCAATCTGCATTTCTGACCTGGATTTGACCTCCGACTTCAGGTTTTCCCCAAATTGGGGCTGCGCTTCAAATCTCTGTTTAATCTTCGACCTACTCTTCACATTGGACCCCTGTTTTACCTGTGACCCGTTTCGACCTATGAGCATTGCATTAGCTGCTGATCGTACCCTGTCTCCTATCGGTCAGAACGAATCACATGTGAGGTTTTTTCGAAGTGACAGCCCATCGGCAATGTGTGTTACGAGTCAAATTACCGCCCACTCCATCTTGAATGACAGCGCCACAGGAGTGAGTGGTGTTCCGTTTGCTTCCTCGAGCATCGAGTATTAACTCACCTGAACTTTTATTTTGCCGAGCAATTGAAGGATATTCCACATTCCTATGACGGCGACCAAGATATCTACAGGACAACCACAAGTTCTGAACAAAATGTTCAGGTTTTTACTAGGTGGTTCTTAGTTTACTGACTGCGGAGGAAAGATGTTGATGGTCATGATGACAATGGAGCGGTGTGATCTCTGTTTGGAATGTGATTTTGGGATAAAAACAGTTCCATGTTCCCTGCTGTGCCAGCCCCAGCTTGGGCTGGACAGCTGTGAATCAGAGCTCCATGGCTCGTTGGGATCTTCCAGCTGAAAACGAAATGTCTCGGTTTTTACCATGGGTCCCATGCATTGCGGCTCTTGAAATATTGAGGGTTTTTTTTACCGAATTCGAAACAAAATGGCTCTTATTCTATGGTTCTCTCGGTAAAGTCACGGCGATAGAAAAAATATAACAATTAAATAATAAATGTAAAGTTTTTTGTTTTGGCGACGTATCACATCTCGAGTTACCCGCCGGTACAGTTCACTCTCGACTTACCCGCGGGCAGATTAACCACTCTGTGGGTTCAATCCTGCTCATTCGCTCCTCGTAACGGCCCACTCCCTGTTTAATTACATTCTGTTCCTCACTCGTCGCGGGTCACTGGCTTGGTGCCCACGTGATCGCGGGCGGACGTGCGGGCAGGCAAACCGGGCACTTAAAAAACACACACACATGGGCGGCACGTCGTAGTCAAACACTTTAGACGCACATGTAACGTGTTTACGGAAATGTTAAAACAGACGTCCGTGATGTGGTGCAATGTTTACAAAGTGCCAGCAGCTCATTCGTGAAGGGGCCTGAGTGAAGTGCCAGCCCAGATCTTTGTGTAAGATGATCCTAAGCTGCCACGTTACTGGCAGGTGGAAAAGCCGTCGTCTTTGAAACAATAATTGACGCACGCCTTGAATTATCCATTGTTTGTTTTGGTTGATCAGGCCCATATCCCGCTCGCCATCCATCAACTCCAGGTGATGGAGAGTCAACCGTACAAGATGCACGAATCATCTCGATTTGTTGGCCGCGGGTCACTTCAAAGTTTGTCTTGTGACGAGAGAGCAGTCGGAACTTGTGAACTCCCATCGAAGAAGTAGTTCTTGAAGAGACGTTACAACCAGTAGCGAATGGCAGTGCTGTGGTGTGAACTTGTTTAAAGAGGGGTGGTTAAAACTTTTTATTATTATTTTACCAGGCAAAGACCTCACTGAGCTATGTAGCTCTTTCAGAAGCGACCTGGCCATAAGTGATAGCTCAACGAAGTGGCCTTATCATGATCATCACGTGGAAAGTGTATAGCATCAGAATACTCTAAACGCGTGACGTTGTTTCTAAATGTGTAGGGTAAACCCGGAGGACCCCGGAGAAAATCCAGGCGACCACGGTGGAGAGAGACATCGCAAACTCCAAATATACAGGCGTTAGGGTCGGGATCAGACCCACGACCTCCTGCATACCTGGCGAAGCAGTTAACATCTCCTAGCCACCGTGGGTTAGCGGTAGGGGCACAACAGAATCATTGTCAATCTTTAAAACGGAACGAGTAACAATGTGGTCCGCTTGCGTCCGACCCCGCGTTTTGCTCAAGCTCTCTCGATCGCCCTCTTGCGTACCGTATGGATATAAGGAAAGACTCAGATGCCCATTGCTAAATGTTATTACAAATGTTCGCACGTTGTCCAACCCCAACGGTTTATATTCGTACGCGTTCGGTCTCTGGCAGGCAATCCCCCCACGGCCTTTGTGCTTTATGCGACAAAAAAACCACGGGCGGTCCCTGAAGAACTGCATTTGTGGTTCCCTTTATCCGAGCCCGGTGTGGAACCTTTGGCCCAACGTGGACCTGATGATGTTTCACGTTTACTCAGAGGTTTCCATTAAAAAAAAAGAATTCTGTCATGAGTTTTCTCGTCGTGGACAGGTTTGACACACTTCCAATGCAGAGCCTGTAAGTGTGTGCGCCTCTAGTGGCCGAGTGGCCGCTTGTGTGTTACAGTGCGGCGAACTTCTTTCGCACCGCACGCAGCCAAGCGTGCTAATGGGAGGTGCTGAATCTGAAAGCAAAGATTGTACCGGTCAAATTATGAAAGAAAAAAAAACTGGCGAACTTTGAAGCTATTTTTTGCGTAAACATTTTCTGACTTGATAAGAATGTCGAGGCGAGGTGGGGGGGGGCTCACCCAAGTGCCCCCCTCCTCTCCCCCATTGTATCTCTACAACGGATTGATAATAATCCATCACTGCACTAGGGAAGGGGAAATAGAGTTTAGGTGTATACATGGAATATGCAAGTGCGTCTGCGTTATTGTTGTACTCGTGTTTGAAGTGTCCTAATTTAAGCTTGTGTTATTTCTAACGTGACAGGAGATGTTTTTTTTTCTCCCTAGGAGTGTGAGACGATGTTTACAAAGCGAGGGTAACACATTTTTTTTCTAAGGATTTATTAAAAAGCGAAAACTTTGACTGGATTTAACAATGACAATAAAATGTTCCGTCAACAAAAAAAACTGAAGTTTAAAATAAAATAAGCTCTTGATATTGCTTCCAATGTGCTGTGTTTTTTTTAATATATATACATTATATACAGTGTAACGAAAAGGAACATTTAACATTCTGAAGTATATAAAATGGTTGCAATACATCGCCATTGACTGCCACTCAATTCTAGATTGAAAACTAATTTCTTTCGAACTGCTTTTTCTGTTTAGTTTATTATCTTTCCCCCGCACCTCCAATTAGCACGGTTGGCTACGTGCGGTGCGAAAGATGTTCAACGTCCATACTAAGCAACGTAATGTCAACATTCATAGCAACGCGTCTCCTTCACATATCCACCTGTCTCTCTGCAAAAAAAACACAAGCATT